AATACAGTACAGCTAGTCTGTTTGGCTCTAGATTCCCTCCTAGATGTAATAGCCTCAGGAGAGAGAGACTGCACATCAGCAAAAAAATTAATTGCATGCCATTCGGACCCCCAGGCAAAAGAGTTTCAGTTTTTCCTACTGTATTTGGGCGGGGGGGAGAAGCTTGATACAGGAAAATGACACCATTTTCCCATGTTGATTTATCATGATGATAATTGTTTTGTCTGTGATTATCTGTAACTACACTAAGCACACATCCCTTGCGGTTATGGGAAGAAACTGAAAGCGCGTCAAGCCAGTTTGAAAGCCAGCGAGACTGGAACTCATGCAGAAATAGCTCTTCATTTCACGCATATTTCCAGTTAGCTTAAGACTGTATATTTAGCAAGTCTCGAAACAAGGAATTACACGAACCAATTTATTTTGCAGCTTGAACTTCAATGGAGTTCACCTGGCAGCTGCTGGGCAGTTCAGCGATTTCCTGGGCAGCATGGGGCCTGCGCAGTTTGTGGGTCGCCAAACCTTGGCTACTACCTCCATGGGTAAGCAAGAGAAAACCATTGTTTTTTTTATGAATGTGTTTTTGTGTTTGAATAGTGCTATCAATGCACATGATGCTTTGCAAAGAGATTTTCCAGGTTGCCCTATCCTAAGGGGCTTACAAATTTATAAGCAGGGGAAAATAAATGAGGTTGCTTAGATTTGACCTCTTTATCGTGCATTCATCCTGATGCACAATAGATTAGATGAAGTTGGCTATTCAACGGGCATTCACCTGGATTTCTTTGTGGGGGAACAATGCAAGTGTAATCTCACACTTTGCAATGTACTTCCCCACTACTTTCCTTATTGCAAAAAGTCTGCTTATCTGGGGAAGCGGGTATGTTGCGCAAACCTCCCAATCAGCTATAATTGTCCAACTGGAGTTTGCTAGTCTGTGACTGAAGCACCCACCTCCTCTCATCCGAGTAGCTAAGAAAACATGGAGTTGCTTGTGTAAATCAGAATGTGTGAGATTCCCTTAAAGCAATGCACGACCTGTATTTTGTGTGGTAATGCATGGACATTAAAGATAAATCAAATTACTTGTGGGAAAGGTCTTGATAAAAACACAGATTGCTTTAAAACATCCAACAATATTTACATTATAACAAGATATAGTAGAAGAGCATGCAACATATAAAATAAATCCAAATGGTGATAGCTGTAATAAGCAAAAACAAGTTTCAGAATAAAAGTTTTCTGAGGCTTCCTAAAAGGTTAGCCAAGTGATCCCTTTGAGCATGTTGGAAGGAAGAAAAGAGAAGACGCCATAATGATGCCGGGCACTAAGGTATCAAAAGCCTTTTTGTGTGGGGGGGGGAATTAAACTGTGTCTAATATTTATACCCAGTGCTTTTTTCTTTTAAAAAAAATATGTTTAGGGGTACTCTCATTTTTCTACTTATATTGAAATATTGCTCCTCAATGAGGCCAAACTTAGATTCACAAAATGTTTAGGGGTATGTGTACCGCTGCGTACCCCCAGAAAAAAATACTGTTTATACCCTTTAAATTAGATAGGTCAGCAATAATCAACCTCTCTCTCTCTCTCTCTCTCTCTCTCACACACACACACACACACACAATCATCATTCTTGGAGTTGTCTGCAGTCTTGTTTTATCTTCTACACAGAAGCATTTCAAACACTGGACTTAGGTCCTGCTGAGGTCCGTACCTCCATATAACTGCTTTCATGCTGCAGAAATATTTCTACTTGTTCAACTTGTCATATTTCCAAACACATATTAACCATAGTAGTTTAACAACGTTCCTTCCCCTTTAGGTCATTCTTTACTCTTTCATGGATCAAAATTAAGCTGGTGAAATGCAGATGAAGTTTTTCCCCACCGTTTTCACTATACACTGTGTGAAGAAGTACTTCCTTTTTCTTGTCCTGGAATTGCCTACCCTTCATCTTATTTAGGGGGAAAACAACAACTTCTACCTTGTCTCTGCAACATGCACAATTGTATGTACCTTTATCATGTGTGTGTCCCACCACTGATATTGGTGCTCAAAACCTCTGAATGCAACCTTCTCCTGATGTCAAATAACATGTCAAGAGATCATTCGAGGAAGGGCACATAGTTTGAAAGTTGTCACTTTGAAAGAGTGAGTTGATTCAAAGACTCTGGCAGTTAATATGCCTGGTGAACCACTTTGAGACAATCCCCGTGCCTCAATTCCATACTAGTCAGTGAGTTCTGTTGCCATTTTATCCCCATCTTTCTTGCCACTAGATAATCAGCTTGTTGCAAGGGGAAGCCTGACTTGTACCAGATGATAATCATTCTGCAGTCTCTAATGTTTAAGAGAAATTAGAGCAGTGAGCAGTGGTTCATAGATATCTTTTTGACACTCACTTACTTTTCATTTTACTTGCTGTCCAGGTGATGTGGAAATTGGGTTACAGGAGCGAAATGGACAATTAGAAGTGGACATCATTCAAGCCCGAGGATTGACTCCAAAGCCTGGCTCCAAAACCCTGCCAGGTAGAGTGTTTCATCCTCTTTGCCTCTCCCAAATCCTGGGTAATAGCATTGAAAAGGTGTTATGTACTGAAGTTTTCACCCTGTGCCAGCAGGGGGATACTGTAGATAGTTATGCAAATAAGGGATGGAAAGTGACGTTCAGTGATTGGATAGTTTTAGAAAATTGTTACAGTTACATTGTACTGGAGCTCTATATAAGCAGGCTGACTGAACCCTTCAGTTCAGTTCTGTTCTAGCCTGTGAATAAACAAGAGCTGTTTGAAGAATCGCTGTGTTGTCTGATATGTTCACCCACAACTTAACAAAAAGGATGTTTGGTTTTTACAAGGGAATAACTGATAAGATTGTGGGAACTGGAAGGGGTGGGAAGGATGGTGTGGTGTGTGCCATCTGAATTTTGCAAGCATTCTTTACGAGTTATTGCAAGGTTCTCACATTTTTGCAAGGTTCGAATAATTTTTACGATGAGCAACCTGTTCTTTGCTCATCTCTACCAGGCTGCATACACACCATTCTCTGAAAGTGCATTTAAAGCATGTGGGTCAACACACACACACACACACACACACTGCTGAGAACTGGTTTGTAGAGGAAGCTGGGAATTGTAGTTCTCTGAAACACAGTTCCCAGGATTCTCTTGGGAAGTAAGTGTGCTTAAAATCAATGGTGTGTACACTGCCATAGACACAGGACCTCAGAGTGAGGTGGCTGCCTCAGACAGCAGGTGCTGGGATGCACATTGAGAATGGGGCAGTATTGGCAGCCCATCTAGGGATTCTCTTGTTCTGGAGGTAGGGATGGGGGAGATATTTCATTCAGTTTGCATTTATCGAATTTGTACTTTCCAAAACAATGTGAGAACCAAAACAAAGCCATCCTCCAAAATTTGCATTTACCTGAATTTTGTGGTGCGCTTCTTCATCCAGTGTTTACAAAAACACATTATAGTATGTAAAAGCGTGGATAAAAATGAATGCGACAATACAAATAACATACCAAAAAATGCATTGTATTAGGAGAAATTCCTTGCAAAAATGTGTACATTAGTCATATAAAATTGTGCCTATTTAGGAGTAACTTGAACTAAAATTCTGAAGAATTTTCATGAGGTTTTTCTAAAAGAAAACCTGCAAATTGCTGCAGAGATGTGGAGTGCAGAATTTAAGACTGGGGGAAAATGAGAAATGGAGAGAACCCAAATAGACAGATCCTTTCATCCTTAGTGGAAAGACAGAGCTCTGTGTAGCAAACAACCCACCTTGCTCCCACTAAGCAAATCTGCTGTTCTCAGGTGTGAAGGAGGATAGCATCCCATCACCAGCGTTGAAACAAGATTTAACTTCCTGTCCAATCAGCACCATGTTGTCCTGCACTTCTCAGGCAGCAAAAAGTCCTGATGTGATCCTGAATATACTTGCTGCATATGTGTGATGATGGCTAGAGATAAACATTGTACCAAGGCCAGTCACAGGCAACCTCAGTGTCACTCAGACACCAAGCAAGGCTTGAAAAGACCACTTCCAACAATATGTTGGAAGCTTTTCTCTCAAAACAAACTTTTCTTTTTTAGTAGCTTCATCTGAGCAAATTGATGGTGGTATTCATAGGGGATCCCTGTACTTAACACGGCGATACAACCTTTTACCCTGTGTTATTCTTCCAGCTGCTTACATCAAGGCCTACCTACTAGAAAATGGGGTGTGCATTGCAAAGAAAAAGACCAAAGTGGCTCGCAAGTCCTTAGATCCGCTGTACAACCAAGTGTTACTTTTCCCAGAGAGTCCACAAGGCAAAGTACTGCAGGTAAGATGGACCTGTCTGAGGCCTCCTGGCAGATCTCACAGCTAGGGTTAGGGTGGCCTGTGTGGTCAACTAGGATGTAGCATTCGTAGGGAGGCACCACACAGGGAGAGGAAGTTGTTTGTGCTTTTTGATGAGTTGCCATTCCGCTGAAGAACTAAGGAGGCCATGTGTCCTACTTTGCAAAGGACAGCCCTCTACTTGAAGGACTGTCCCCTCTAAAGAGGAAGAGCTGAGAAGGGAGAGCTGGAGGACCATGTAAATGTCCATTAATAGCACCCAGAGAGCAGACTGAGCACACACGATGCTAGTTCTATAATAACAACAACAACAATAATTTATACCCCGCCACTCTGGGCGACTCCCAACAGAATATTAAAAACACAATAAAACATCAAACATTAAAAACTCCTCTAAACAGGGCTGCCTTCAGATGACTTCTAAAAGTCAGATAGTTGTTTATTTCCTTGACATCTGATGGGAGGGCGGGCGCCACTACCTAGAAGCCCCTCTGCCTGGTTCCCTGTAACCTCACTTCTCGCAGTGAGGGAGCCACCAGAAGGCCCTCGGCGCTGGACCTCAGTGTCCGGGCTGAATGATGGGGGTGGAGATGCTCCTTCAGGTATACTGGGCCGAGACCCGTTGAAATTAATACCTTAAAGTAGTTTACTTAAAATAGTTCTTTTAATTTCAGTGCCTCTGAGTATATTGCGTGTATTTTATTTTTATTTTTCAAATTAATGAAGTTTTGAAAAAAGAAAAGGAAATACAGCGCAGTTGACTTGACTCTCCTGTGACCTTCACCTCAAGTCCTTCCTTGGTCTTCTTAGTATCATTCAGATCATAAGCTATGTCAATGCTTTGCCAAAAGATAAATTCCACGCCAGCCTCCCATCATTCGTGTGATATTGCTTGCAAACTAAACATGTTCCCCACCCCTCTTGTTTCCAAGGTGATCGTTTGGGGGAACTACGGACGCATGGAACGCAAACACTTCATGGGAGTTGCCCGGGTTCTTCTGGAAGAACTTGATTTGTCAACTTTGGCAGTTGGCTGGTATAAGCTTTTCCCGACCTCGTCAATGGTGGATCCTGCCACTGCTCCACTCTTACGCCAATCCTCGCAGCTTTCCTTGGAGAGCACAGTAGGACCTTGTTGTGACAGGTCTTAATGGGCAAGGAAGTTCCAGGGGGACTGCTTCTGTTTTTAAAATCATGCTGTCAAGGTTTTGTTTGCCAGAACGCTGTCCTCAAGCGCATTGCATCTTTGATCAGTCCTTGGAGGAACCTGAAGGTGAGGATAGCCAAGTAACCTTGGACAGGAACCAAGATGGAGGCCAATGACCTTTCTCCATCCAAGTAGAAAGAGCTGCAGGGCACAAGTCCTAATTATGAAATGACACACACACACACAAGACACACTTTTTCGTTTCCCTTTTTCCACAGTCATCCATGCACCCTTGCTTCAGATCAGTGTAAAACCTTGAAATGTTGCAGCATCTTTTTTAAAAATTGGGGAAGATGTTTTTCTTCTTCTTAACGCTATTTTACAAATTGGGGAAAGAAGAGAGAGAGAGAACTTTTAGAAAATTCTTAAATATTCAAAAGCAAACATCTGACGTAAAAGAAAACAGCAGTTTCAGGGAAACTTTGTGGGTTTTGTAAACTTTCCTCACCCCCTTTAAGGCTGGGGAGGGGTGGGAGGAACTGCAGCTACTACTTTAGAACAAGTTCCACGGTTCTGTTTGATGTACAAACGCCGCTGTATTTTTTACACTGTGCCAAATTACCAGCAGTGTCTTCTACTATAGGACTTAGGCCAACAGTACTGCTGACGCATTTTTGTTGGAAGAACAAGAAAACACACTTTGGTTACACCAGTCGGTTCTAACGCAGAGTGCATAGCAAGCCAATTAGCTGGAATGTTGCACAGAGAATGTTGCTGAATGCAAACTGGAAATCTGGCAGAGCTACTTGCTAGCCCATTGTTAGATATGAACATTGCAAAACACACACACACACCATACCTTACCTCAGCTTTTGCTGTGCTATCCCCCTGTTGTGTTTTTTGCTTCCATAACGCTAGTCATGCTTTTGGGATTTATAGTGCATATCTGGTGACGTGCCACTTTCCTCTGGAACAGGGATCAGTTTGAGGTAGCAATACTTTCTTCTGCCGTTGCAAATGAAATGACAACATAAAAAGTCTGCACATTAAAAAAAAGAGGTGGGAGTGATCAGAAGATGGAGTTCTGTTCGTCATGCAGGAGATTATTAAACCCTGCGCTTAGAGAAAAAGGAGTGTTGCATTCAGACAACTGTATTAATACTCAAGTGGTGTGAAGCAACATGGAAAACTCAGGCACAGAAGGCAGATAAGGACTTATTTAAGGGTGTTTTCACAAGTGACACTAAAAGCGCCTTCCAACCTTTTGCATGGTTTGTGTGCACGTGTGAATGACTGCAATGCACTTTTGAATGAGTGTGAGGAGGAGATCGATGTTGGCATTTGAACTTCCACGTGGCTATTTGTGTGTATGTGTCGTCCTGCCTGTATATATGTGTGGATGTTCTGAGTGGATGTTCTCTACTCATAATGCTTTGTTGACCCTCCATCCACCATTCTTATTGCCACAAAGCTCTATACATTCCAGGTTCAGCATGCAAGGGTGTGTCTTCTGCTGTACCATGAGCTCTTATTGGTAGTCAGCAGAAGTCTTGCTTTTGAATAGAGTTAAATGTGATTCAGCTGGAGGGTTGATACCGGCATGGGTTTCCGAGTCACTTGTGAAACTGACCTGGTCACTGCAGATAGGCTTTGTGGATTATTTTATAATGAACAAAAAATAAATAAAATCAAAGGTAAATATTTTATGTTCGCCAATAAAAAGATAGCTATAATATATATATATATATTCTGCATACAGCTAAGACGACAGCAGATTGTCAACAGAGTCACCTTCAGTAGAGTAGGTTAGTGGTTTACCAGATAGAGCCATTGAACAAATGCAAAGTGATTTACCTGGTGACAGCCATGTCTAGAGGCTTCAGTTTAGAGAGTAATTTTAGGAAGTAGGCCAAGACGCTCTATCTGTATTTAGATCTACCTTTTGTACATTGCTAGGTGTTTTGTTTCTGTTCTCATTTCTAATGAAGATCTAATGATTGCTATCTCAAATCTGTTTTCCTATTAGGATGTCAAGAGCTGATTTTGCTCCACGGTTTCTGGTGCCAAGTCCCATGTTAGCATTTAGGAACCATCTCAAAATGGCTTCCTGGCCTGTTGTTACGTCACAGAGTAATAACAAGGTTTCTACGTGGACTACGAACTAAGCATGATTAAAGCATGACTTACTATAGAATGAAACATAGACAGTCATATGTTATAGGTAGTGTTTTTAATGGTTTGGGAAATAACGACCAAATGACTAGAAAAGCAGTAGGCCCAGTAATGAGCTCTGCTAGAAGTAACCTAATATAGATAATAGCATAAGGAAACATTGAGCATATTAAAATCACAGAAGCTCCAGAGTTTCAGATTGATTATCTTAATTTTTTCTATGCCTGTGGTTTCAAGTATAATTCCGTTTCCAAGTCATATTAAAGATTTTCTGTGTATTGGCTGAAGGGAGGTAGTTGCATGCTGGTCAAAATATGTTGTGACTCTCCTTTCCCCCCATTTATTTAAAAACTCGCTTAACTATATTTCAGACTGAATCCTCTTCATATTTGTGTATAGTAGGTACTAGGCAATATTGTACAATATATGTATGGACTAGAATAGATTGGGTTAGATTTAGTGATTGGTAGCCATTGACTCTTTTAATAACCTTGTCGTAAAAAGGACTGTGGAGAAAACAAAACACATTCCAAAGCTGGGAACCGAAGAGCAGTCGTTGATGCTTTATAAATTCAAAGATTTTGCTTATGTTGTTTGAACCTGTAAATCAAATCAGCCCTGTTTTGTATGTATCCTGCAGCACAGCTGTCAATTCTTACCCAAATGTTAATAGTGGAAGTGGGAGCAAAAATGCTGGAAACACAATCTTGGCTTCCTAATCTGTTGTTAACAGCACAACAGACTTAACTCTAAAATGTCTGGAGCTGCCTATCTCTGTTAACTCAAATGTGAATGGATGTGTGAGTTGGGTTAAACTGAAGGACTCAGAACAGAGAGGTCCATCCCAAAGCTGCTTAGAAATAATTTCAATAGGACATAAACGTCAAAAGGTTAAAAACATTTTCATGTTGATTCTATGTGTTTGTATACTACCCTTCAACCAGTTGATTCCCAGGATAATTAGCAAGAGAATAAATGGCAATGAAAAACAGTTTTAAAAAGCAATTTTTAAAAACCCAGTAACGCCAGCAATTAAAAGCAACAGATTAAAAGTGTTAGAGGCTTGAGAGAATACAAAAGGGTTTTGCTTAGCAAGAGGATACTTATTTCAAGCTATTTCCTTTCTTCCCTCTTTGGTGCAACCCTTTGGATCCTGGCAAAAAAAGCTTAGTTACAGCAACTTTGAGCTAGGCACACATGCAATCCAGTTTTCTCTTTTTAGCAAGCAAGTCTGCATTACTACAAATGCAAGATTATAAACGATCTACAAAGACTGGATTAGAAGGAACAAAATTTACTTAGCAATCGAAACTAGTCAGGTGCCCCTGAACATCCTTTCCCTGCTAGTCTCACCCAGAACTGACCACGCCTTATCACCCTTTCTAAATAACATCAGTTCCTATTTATCTATTTTATGCATCTATTTCAAGTATTTATATACCACTTTGCATCATAAAAGATCACGAGGTGGTTTACAAAGAAAAAGTGAAAAAGAATGCGCAAAACAAGAAAAACTAAACACAGTATGGAGAACATCAGAATCCGTAAATAATGCAATGTATGAAACATGAAACTTGATCACATAGAATTCTATGGACTCTATACACTTATTCAAAATCCACATCTTCTAACACACCTGTGCCTCAACCAGAGCGCACCTGCACACATTCACCCACATACTCTGATCCATTACAAATCCCAATAACCCCCTGGGTAGGCTGCACTATGATACTGGCAGTCTAATGCCAGGAGACTAAAATCACCTTACAAAGACAAAGGCCCTTGTGGTCTTGTGTGCACCCTCTGGGTACATGCATGCAACGGCCTTCCTAGATCCTGACCCACTAGCGCAAACAGAAATCTAAAACGCAGACCTGCTTTCAGAGCACCTCGCTCTCAGCCCATAACAAGCAACGTCCAGATACGATACATTGCCAGCTTAAAGCTATTCTTCTCGTTCTTGTGAGAGCCCTTATTCTTGAGAGCAGCAGTGGGCAAACTCTTCTTCTATCAAGGGCTGCACTCCCTCAGGGGTGACCAATTGGGGACCACATGACTGCAGTGGGCACAGCCAGAGACAATAGTGTTCTGGATTAACTCGAACAATTATCTCGAACAATGGCTGCCCTGTTTCAATTTCACCATGGCTACCTCGAATTAGGATTTCCAATCCTTTGTAGATCTACTCAGAATTAAGCCCCACTGATTTTGATAGGTTTTGATACTTATTCCTCTCAAATAAGTATAAAGAGGATTTTTATTTTTTACTGAGGACAACAGACCCATACAGCGACTGGAGGGCCAAGTGAAAGCGACTCTTTTCTAACTTTAATGTGCTTAACGCACACCAACCACAGAGGCAAGAAAGGGGAAGTGATGAACAGGAAGGAAGGAACTCTGATGAGGTGGAAGAATGAGGCAGCTTCCGAGGGTGTAGGGGCCACAGACTGGCTACAAAAGAGCAAATAAGTTTTGCATCTAAATTAAGAGGCAGTTCTTCAGTAGATGCAGGTGTTCTCCTCCTGTGCACACCTTTTTACTGGGTTGTTGTTGAAAGCTGGCTCAGAAATCCACAAGTGATAAAGAGGTAATTAGTATCAATAGGCTTGGATCAGCTCCTCTTGTGTAAAGTCCAGCCTGGAACCTGTTTTCTTCCACATTAGATCGCATGATACCTGGTTATGCTCCTGAGGGCTCCGCTACCCCTTTAGGGGCACATACGAGAACATCTCCCTTACTCTCCCCCCCACCCATACCTGTTTTTCATGATGAGTCAGAAGATGTTTCTGAAGCCACTCCCAAGAAACTTACAGTGAAGCCTTTATAAATAATAATAATACTTTTCATGAAAAAAGGCCCCATGGGCCTAAGTTTCACTTCATCATTTTGGATTTGTAAAGCAAGTATTTGCATTTTGAAACCTCATCTCTTGCTGCCTTTTAAAAGTTTAAAATAGAATCGTGTCTGTCTGTAACTTTTAATGATTGACTTCTTTTATGGGGAAGTAGGGGAAGAGTTAGCGTATGTCTGAGAGGTAATAGTTACCTCTGTGGCTTCCTTGCTTGTTGTTAAGCTGAGGAGCAAAGGCTCCGCCTCTCTCCATTTTATAGCCTCTTCAAGCACTTTGAATTTTGGTTAAAATGACTGACAAGTGCATCATATCCACATCGTGCACTGAAAGCACATGGCTTCCCCCAAAGAATCCTGGGAACTGTAGTTTAGCAAGCATGCTGGGAATTGTAGGTCTGCAAGGTGTCAGCTACAATTCCCAGGATTCTTTGGGGGAAGCTGTGTGCTTTAAAGGCGCTTTAAATTTATGACATGGATACGACCTAATGAGCAAAGCAGTGACCTCTCAGCCACAATCCTAGGAACACACAAAATACTGGCTCTGAGCTTCATTGCCCTATTCTTTAACCCCCGAAAACAGGAGAAACATTTTATTGCCACAATTGTTTTCAGATGCAAATGTCATATTTTTCTGGGAGTGCTTTATGACCCCCCGATTCCTAATGGTTATGGTAGAGAGGACAAATCTAGGTTTTCTTAGCTCCCGGAGTGCCCATGAAAGTCCATTTACTAATAATATACAAATAGAATGAAATATATCTTGCCAATCAAAATACTGAAACAACGTGTAAAATACTGAAACAATATTATATGTCAATGGCCTCCAAGTCACAGCTATTCTTGTTTCACAGGAAGTTCCCAGGTTCATATAGGAAGTCAGTTTTTAGAGTAAGGAGTTGAATCTGGACTTCCAGTGCCTCTTAAGCACCAGATCATTCTTCCTCTGTATGCAGAGTTATTTTTGAGGATCGGGAATTAAGCAAAACCCAGCCTGCTGTTAGCTCAACCAACGCTCCCCAACTTTGGGGCAAAGGACTTTTGAAGAAAGAAAAATCAATTTGTGAATGCTTCTGTTGTATATAATTATACCTTTTTAATGTTTTTAATACTGGATCCCTTATACATGTACTTTTTTTGTTTTTTTAAAGTAGGTCTATAGGCAAAAGAAATATCATAAATTTATGTATACAAAGAAATTATGTAGATCTTGAGGCAGTAAGAATCTCAATGTAAGCATGATTAGTAATAACCATCTTAGACAGCAAGACTTTTTAATGAAGTTTATTTAAGTTAGTTTACTACATGCTATTTAATAATTTTGACACTGGAGGAATATTTTCTTTAAAAACAAAATGTGATACTTTTTTTTCTAACAGATTATATGATTTAAAGTGCAATCTTTCGCATGGTTACTCAAAATAAATCCTTCTGTGTCCAGTGGGGCTTATTCCTTTGTAAGCATGTTTTGGATTGCAAACTTAACTTTTTAAAATTATTTTTTAAAAGTCTTATGTTTGGTACAACCTGTATTCTTCCTGATCTGGAGAATGTTAGCCATCAGCTCCATTGAACTAAATGAACACTGGCTAGTCATGACAACTAGTTAGCCATTGAATTCAATGGAACATCAGCAGAGTCCCCCTTCTCTGGATTCAGGCCTTACTGGTTTAGTGTTAGATGCTACATGTTATCAACTTGTTGTTTTTCCCCAAAAAATGGAAAAAAAAATGTTTTGTAAATAGCTACCAGGAAATAGTCCTATAGAAATTTCACTTGAATCTCTCATTAAGTTATTATTACTATTAATATTGTGTAAGAATATTTGCAGTTGTTCATTACATCTCTGCTAAAGATCTTAGCCTAAGATCTAAGCCTTTGTTGAAGGAATTGATGTCGTATTTTCAAGATGAAAAAAACAAAAACCTTAGCTAGTTTGTCATAATCCTGTATTCTGTAAACAAACAAAAGAAGCCTTTTTATAAAGAGAGTCTACATAGGCTTACAAGCAATAATATATTCCATTTGGTGTGAAGAATGTGATGTGCAGATGGCAGTGTATACCATGGATAACAATATGTGATGACAGATTTAGTTTTTAGGGATGTCAGGTTTGATTAGGCCATATTAATATTGGCCATTTGGTTATTTTTTAACAGGGAAGTTGGGGTAGGTGCCATACTGTTGGTTCTGTTCTACCTACTTGTGTAAGTCCAATCACTGACCATAAAATATATGTAGTTGACTTTCATGCTACAATTGTCAAAAAGTTTCAATATAAAGCTCACCAAATGTGTCAGATCTCCTTGTTTTCAGATAACTGTTGAGCATTTGTCACAGTTTTTTCAGACACCGCCACTGCCAGTGTTTTGTATTATGAATCTGATGGCAGCTCTGCCCCCTAACGGGCCTGTTTGGCAAAGACACCTCGTTGAAGTTAAAGGGAGGTGGGCTGTATTTTTCTTTTTTTTCCTGAGCTGCAGTTCCATCCTTTATTACTGTACATGACACCAAAGCAGGGGAATACATGCACCTTTGTCAACGACAAGCACAGACTGATGTGCAAAACAGAATGCCACAATGCTTGACTGTGCTGTCACATAACGGCAAACAGTATTAGGGAATATGTGTGGAGGTTTCCGCCAAATGGCAGGAGCAGAATCTGCTCTGCATCCGCATTAAGTTCAGTCCGGTGGATAAAATAATTAGGCTGCAATCAGTGCTAAAGTTTAGCTCCAGCAGGTGGGAGAGCGAATGAGCAGGCAAGCTCAGATGGAAACTCTCAAATTGTAAAAGCGTTCCCACTCCCAGGGCTAGCGCTTGGTTCGTAAAAAGGCCCTTCCCCAACACTCCTAAGAAATCTTGCAGAAAATTAATTTCCCTTGTTGATTACAGATCGGGCAACAAGCTATGTTTGCAATGCTAAACCTGGAACAGAGGTCAGCAAATGATGCTCATAGGGCCACACCCATTACTGTGCATGGCTCCATCTCTCCCCATTACTAGTGAGGCCACTGCTAATCCCAGAGGCAAAAGATGGATGTGGATGAACATTCCCCAGTCAGCACAACCAACCAAAGGCCCATGCTGGTCACACCAGGGCTGTCATTCTGTCTGGCAGTGTGTGAGTGGATTGATGGGAGACCTTTTTCCTTTTGCCTCTTCACATAGCCACAGAACATTAATTATGTTCCATACTTTAAGTATGGAGCTCACTGTGACAGGATGTGGCATGCACCTTCCCCTTACATGGCCTTTTCAGACAGGGCCTAAACCAGAGCACATTTGCTTGGTGAAAGGGCATGACTATATCCAAGATGTGGAAGGGGAATTCCTGAAGCCACTGTACCCCCGCACATCATGCATTCATCTGATGCTGAAGTTCACTGGCTTCAACATCCTAATTGGATGAATGCACCTTGGCCAAAAACCCAATCTGCGCAGCACATGTTGACTTGCAGTTACATATTATGAATTGCATTTGCCTGTGTCCTGCTTCCCTTTCCACATGGGCGTTATGTTTTTACACACCAAACGTAGGAAGCTGCCTTATCTCAAGTCACAGCATGGGTCCATTCAGCTCAGTATCACCAGCACTGGCTCTCCAGGGTTTCAAGCAGTTGTCTCTCCTGGCCCTACCTGGAGGCGCTGAGGATTAGATTTAGGACCACCTGCATGGATGAAGATGCTCTACCACATAGTGTGGTCCTTCCCTTAACAGAAAGCCCAAGCCTAGAGCCAACAGAGGCTTGAAGGCAATTTAAGTCTCGTGTATGGAAATGTTTTTAGATGTGACTCACTTTCACAGGGATTTAGTGAAGATAATCTTTTGCTGGGTTGTGCCCTCTATCCCTGGGTGTTAAAATAGTGCTACCTGCTACATGTCCTCTCCTTTGCCATGCCAATCCTCATAACGCATGAAGTTTGCAAGAATTTAACGAAAAATGAAAACGGGCGGGCAACTAGATAATTATCAACTGCATGTTACCTGGGTCGGTAACCTTTTTGGAATACATTGCACAGGACAGGATCTCTCGTAAAAGACCCCCAAATCCAAGAAAATGTCTCATTTCTAACAAACCCCATTGAAATGTTCATAAGGTGCATGAACTTCCCTGTTTGGCATCTTCTGTGGCAGGTTGCTCTGTAACAGTGCTGTACATGTGGCAAAGTGTGACTTAGCACATAGTGTCCAGCACACATTAATGTTGGATGCTGTCTTTTGTCTTTAAAGGAAGATACGGATGCGCTGTTTTCTTTGTCTGTCAGTTTTATCCAGACAATACAAAAAAATGGTTGGGTAATTTGCAACTTAGTGTTAAGCTACTGAAACTGTTGAAAATAAACATTCTTCATTTCTTTTCCTAAGTTGAATCTGAGCCTTTTCATTGAATGCATTTTAAAAAAATAAAATAATGACGACGACGATGATTTATTAAATTTCTGCCCTGCCCTTCACCACGAACAATTAAAAAAATAACAATATTAAAATCAGTTAAAGCAAATTACAGTCACGAGAATGGGGTGGGTACCAGAAATAGATGTCTTGGGTGTCCAAGGTCAGGGTAAAGCATCTTCAGCATACGACAAAAACTGAGTAATGAAGGTGCTCGATGCATCTCTGTAGGAAGGCAATTCCATGGCTTCAGAGGCTGGCAAAGAGAATGCCCCAAACTTCTGAGGACAATGGAAGCATCAAGAGGGACCCCTCTGTTGATCAACTCCATTAGGAAGGAGGGAGTCTTTCAGATAACTGGGGCCTACATCACTTTGGGTTTTAAACCCTTATGTGAGCACCTTGAATTGGACTTTGAACTACAGTGGTTACCTTGGTTCTTGAACTTATTCTGTTCCAGGACTCCGTTAGACTCCTGGAACCATTTGAAAACCAAGGTGTGGCTTCTGATTGGCTGCAGGAGCTTCCTGTTCGTCTTCCGAAAAACATTCACAATCCGGAACACTTACTCCTGGGTTTGTAGCATTCGGGAGCTGATTTGTTCGACAACTAAGCCGTTCGATAACCAAGGTACCACTGTATTTTCCAGGGACCTTGAAGTTAGGGCACCATACTAAAACACATCGAAGAGAAGATGTGCCTTTCTTTTTACCACTGAGTTGCAACCAGCTGGGATCAGGGTGTCACAGAGTGAGTCAGTCAGTAAATCACACCTCTTTACTAGCAAAAACACAATCTTCACAGAACTTGTCGAGTGTCGGACCTAATGAACACAGCAGTTCCTTCCCTGTCTTACTCCAGGAAATCAGTTACCAAGACTAAAGGTTTCCCCACTGCCGTCTGTGTCTCCTCCTCCCCTGGGCTTTCCCCAAGCAATCAGAGACTGCATCTGCACATCTATCTAAGCTTCTCCCGTTTTATGCCTCTTCTGGTCCTGGGAAGAGGGAGGGTATCTGCCCTTTGCTTTCATGGAATAGGCTGTGATCCTAAATAATTAGGCTTGTGTGGAACCATTTACTATTTTCTAAGCACTCATACAATCAATGTTTTATCATTCTTCTACCCCCCCATCACTCTGTAAGGGTCATATTTGGCCCCCAGGCATGTAAGTCGACCCAACCGAATCTATGATTTTGGGATCTAATTCATTAGGAAAGTAACAGGGCTTATGATTGGTAAACACAACATTTGGCTTAATTCCAAATCAGCCCAGGATTCATGGGCTTTATCAGAGAACTTGTTGCATTGACCAGATATTTCAAGGCTAAGTTTTTGCTCAAATTATGCCTACTGTTAAGCCACAGTGGTGGAAGACAAGGGCAATCAAGTAGGTTGGGAGGAGAGAAACAAAGAGGGGACCCCAGGGTATAGAAATGGAATGGCAGACAACGAGAAGAAGTGCCCATAAGACTTACCCATTGCTCAAAAGATGTTTGTTTTTTTAATGTAACCAAAGCAGATTATGGAAAAGTCACCATCAGTTCCCCCATCACCAACTTCCAAATGGAGCATCAGCTTCTGGCTGTTGCTAGGCAACTGGTGCCCTCCGCATAATATCTCCTAGCAACCCAAGGACGGTGACAGCAACAAATAATAAACAAACAGGTGCCTTGACTTGATGGCTTCTCACATTCTCTATGAATGGCAGCCACTCTGTTTGTGAAACAAACGCTCAGCACTACAGATGTCCCAGTTCATCACTTCCTGCGGGGTCCCTGGCATTACTTTCTGCACAGTTAATTTGCAGCTTTTGTGCTCTGGTGTTCTCTGTGACGCAGGCTGATCAGACATGGTGAGCAAATGTAGAAACCAGCCAACAGAAACAGTGAAGGAGCAATCCAGGGCCTGATCCTGCTCTCCAAAGTTTCTTTGTAGCTGCACTTTGGTGCTGAGCTTTTGTTTCCCAGGGCGTCTAATATAAAGAGTAAGGCTAACACCCAACTGAAGAAAGCTGAAGTCCTGGTCTACACCTTTAGCAGCATGAGCTGGAAAGGAGATGGCACAGAACTGGTGGTGGACGTATGGATGGCATCACTTCAGGCTGAAGACAGGTGGGTATGGAGATTATCTTTAAACACCTGTAAGAAAGGAACCCACCCTACAATCACCCTACAGCAAGGAAGGTGAGGACCATGAGATTCTTTATGCTCCACCTTGGTCACCAAGATCCTCAGATGGGGCACTTCTGGTGCTTCCCCATACCCCTGAGGTTTGGTCTGATGATTTCAGGTACCTTCCTTGAACATCTATTATTTTTCTTAGCGGACAGCACCAGTCCAATTCTGGGGAGAAGTGATGCAACAACAGCAGAATGTGAAAACACCAAGAGAGACACAGCAAAGAGCTAACTCTTCCTCTTGACAGCCAAATACCGCATCTCGCGACACTGGGGCAGGGAAGGCACCCAGTTCCCTTTCCCTTTCTCCACCAGTGAGCCAACCACTGTATCCATCCTGCCTGTGGTTTCTGCATATGCTGCCTCATGGAAGCCCTGAGCAGCAATCAATGTCAATGATCTCTCAGGGATCACAGGACTTTCCTCCTACGTGCATGTAGTCCTGAGTCTAATCTGGATGGTTTGGTTTTCTTTACACAGAGTTCGAAGGTGGTGATTTGCAATAAAGATCTGGCTTCTAATGCCACTATTTTATAAGCCCTGTTCTGTGATGCATCTGACCAATACAGGATAGATAGATAGATAGATAGATAGATAGATAGATAGATAACATTTATATATTGCTTTTGTTCCACCATGGAATCACCCTTTCAGGCACTGAGCAGACCCAGATCTCCTTAACTTCAGTAAATTGGGAGCCTCATGTGTCTTCAAGACCATACCCTGGGATGTAGAGCAGGGCTGGAGGATCCCTGGTCCTCCAGATGTTGTTGGACTCCAACTCCCATCAGCCCTAGCTAGCATAATTAGTGGTCAGGGATAGAGATGTGAAGGCCTGGGGGGGGGGGGAACCATTGGGTTTCTCGCCACCGCAACTGCCACCTGTTTTTCTACTTTTCCAATTTTTCAGACACAAATAGGCCGGAAAAAGAAAATTGGAGAAAAACTGTTTCTGCCCCCTTTCCTCCAGATGTTCCCAGGGTTTTTCCCAAGCTTTCACATCTCTAGTCATGAATGATGGGGGCTAGAGTCTAGCATTTAGAGAGCCTCAAGCTTCCCACCTGTAAATGTAGGGGTGATCAAACTTTCCAGATATCACCTGTGTGCCGAGAGGCAGGTAGTTGTTCCTGGGGCTGCACTGCATGTGAGTCCAAAGGTATGGAGAACAGCTACATTGGCACTGGAATGCCAGTCTCCTGGGGCACTCATTCCCATGTTCCCTCAAGGAATGAACCGAGGTCTGCAAGTGATTAGAGCTAAATCTCGAAGGGCTCACAAACTATACTTTGGAAGGCTTGATAAGGTAGCCACCCTTGTTTTTCCCTTGGACTCTGCTGCTTTTTGTCATAGGAACAAATGTACAAGAAGCATATAGGGAGCCCTTTTCCAAACTCACAAGAACATTCTCAGCACCCCATTTTGGGACCTTTGCATGCCTCATTTCTGATACATTTGGGAATTTCTCCTATCATATCTGTTGGCAAATACTAAAAGCTGGTCAGCTTAGAGTGAGTTCACCTCTGAGTAAGCATGCACAGGATTAGAGCTATGCAGCCCAATCCAGAGCATATGTACTCAGAAGCCGCTATCTTCAATATGGCATAGTCCCAGGTGTTTGTGCATATAACTCCAGCTTATGTGAGCTTCGATCTGCATTGTATTGTGGCCTTCAAATTCTATCCTGCATTAAAGCAAGAGAATTGTTCGTTGATTTACTTTGAATCATAGAGTTGGAAGGGACTCAAAGCATCATCTAGTCCAACCCCCTTGCAATGCCAGGAATCCTTTGCCCAGCATGGAGGTTGAACCCACAAACCTGAGGTTAAGAGACTGTGGGTTCATTTTGCCTTGTGCTCAGGACACGCAGTTTCTCCCTCTGGGTCCAGATGAAACTCAACCGGCTGATCAGTTGGGCAAGCATGAACCCTAGAGTGTCATTGCTGAATGGCGCGCTTCTCTGTGTTGACCACAAGATGGCACTCATTTGTGCCAAATGAGGACATTTTCCAAGCCCTGAAAATGTCACCTATTTTCTATCCTTAGTAAAGAAAACAAGGGTGTCGTCGCCCTTCACTTGCCATGCTGTAGTGCATATTTTTGCATGCACAGTTCTCCTGCAATATACACACGGAGGAGATTGTTCCTATTCCTGGCAACACATCTTACACTTTCAAAATGCAACTGAAGAGATGCGGCGTAAAGGAAACTCAGATATACAGTACATAGAAACTCAAGATATATAAGCTAGGCACCAGAAGGCTCCTTAAACCAAAGTTAGAGTTGCCAAAACAAAATGCCTAGTTGCTATTTTGGGGGGCAAGAAGGCTCTGAAGTCTTATTTTTCAAAGGATGGACTGACAGTCATCGGTTCTATGTTAAACATCTGGCTAGTTCAGATGACAACCTTGAACTAGGTTAAGAACTTTGAGATTTTAAAGAAGAAAAGTCACTTGATCCACATATATATTGGCCTATTCCTACCTTTTTTCTTAATGGTGACACAGACCATTTGTAAGGCAAGAACATTCTTCACAACTGTGAGCAGGGCAGTGGCATGGGGTAGACAAGCTGCAACAATTAACTGAAGGTGACCCGGAAACTACAACTAATCCAGAATGTGGCAGCTAGACTGGTGACTGGGAGCAGCCGCCGAGACCACATAACACCGGTCTTGAAAGACCTACATTGGCTCCCAGTACGTTTCTGAGCACAATTCAAAGTGTTGGTGCTGACCTTTAAAGTTCTAAACAGCCTCGGTCCAGTATACCTGAAGGAGCGTCTCCACCTCCATCATTCTGCACGGACACTGAGGTCCAGCTCCGAGGGCCTTCTGGCGGTTCCCTCGCTGCAAGAAGCCAAGTTACAGGGAACCAGGCAGAGGGCCTTCTCGGTAGTGGCGCCCGCCCTGTGGAATGCCCTCCCACCAGATGTCAAAGAGAAAAATAACTACCAAACTTTTAGAAGACATCTAAAGGCAGCCCTGTTTAGGGAAGTTTTTAATGTTTAATAGGTTATTGTATTTTAGTGTTTTGTTGGAAGCCGCCCAGAGTGGCTGGGGAAACCCAGCCAGACGGGTGGGGTATAAATAAATAATTATTATTATTATTATTATTATTATTATTATTATTATTATTACGCTGTTCACTGCTCCTGCTCAGGCTGCTCAGAAAAAAAGCATTTTGGTACCTGAAATTCATTCCGATTGTGTAGATAAAATATCATGGATAGAATTCTACAGGATATGGTATTAGTGTGTGAAAACAGTCCAAATCCAAGCATAGCCCCAGGCATTCATTTCCAGATGGTGGAGATGTCAGGCACCATCTTGGCACTCAGATATCTTCACTTGGTCGCAGTTTCGAACACTGGTCAATTAGCAAGCAAGATGTTGCACCCATCGGCTGATGCAGATTGCCTGCCACAGCCTTTTCTAACCTGACGCCCTCCAGACGTCTTGGGAGTGGTAGTTCAAAATATCTGGGAGGTCACCAGGACAGGCTAATCTACAAAACACAAGAGCGGGGAGGTGGGGCCCCGTGAGCCTATGCATGTTGCAGCACATAACACAACAGTTAAGTTGATTTTCACTAATATCAGGAGCAGAAAGCCTGGCACACTTTTGCAAGGAGCACGCACACCAAGCCCTGGGGGGGGGGGGAGGCTTCTTTGGTGGCTTCTCAGAAGCTGAAGAAATGAAAGGAGTTGGGGAAAGCAAGCTAAGGGACTGAAGTCAAGTAGCAGCTGGTGGCTCTTCCACAGCCACTTCTGCCTATTTTAAAGGGCTGGAACTGTCCCCATGAGAGTGGGAATGTCCGGGGGTGGGGGTGGGGGGAGGTAATTGGAGGGAAGGCACTGTCAGCACATGCATGTGTTATGCAGCCAGAGTGACAGGCAGCTGCTAGAAAATTATTTGCCAGGCTCATCAACACCTTTAATTGGATCACTTCTGCTCATGAAAGTTGGCTGACTATACTGGTATCACGTTACCAGCTTCCGGTGGCTTAAAAAAACCTACAGTCTTTTTATAGAGCTTCTTTCTTCCCACACCCAGTTAAATGCTGCCTTCTGCCCCAATACACTTTTAAAACTGGCACAGTGACATTGCACAAGGAGCAGAATATTTTTGTGTGTTGCCTTTATGGATTAAAATCAGTGGTGGAAAGCTGAGGGTGGGGAAACTGTGGCCCTCTGGTTGTTGATACCCCTGGCTAACAGCCACAGTGGATGGAGCCAATATTAATCCAACACAACAGCCATCACATAAACACACCCAAAGGTAATAGCATGCTGCACAGTTGTAAACAGGTTGAGCGATGAGCCAAGTGTGTGGATCTTCAGACTCGCACCTCTGGCCAGATGTACAGCCTTCCTCTGGAAAGCAAGGAGGCCTCCCAGTTTCGAGAAAATCAGGCTGTGCAGAATGCTGATTGGCTGGGCATTGTGACAGTCACAAAGCCACCTCCCTTCCTCCCCTCTTATCTCACTGGGCAGAGTGCTGATTGGCTGGGCATTCTGACAGTCACAAAGCCACCTCCCCTCCTATCTGGCTGGGCAGAGTGCTGATTGGCTGGCCCTTGTGGCAAATACAAAGCCAAAGCACTTCCTCCCAAATCTAGTGTTCATTCCTTTTTAAAAAAATCAAATCAAAGCCTGCCTAAAGTCCCCACCCCCTCAAAACATAGCTTCAGGAATAGGTTTATGTGTCATTAGAAGAACAAAGATGTGGGGAGTGGGAGGGAAGCAGAGCTCACCCCCAGAATAAGAACAAAAAAAGGCCCTCAATCCTGTAGGACGGTGGTTTTTCAACCAGTGTGCCGTGGCACCCTGGGGTGCCTTAAAGGATGGTCCAGGATGTCGTGGGCAACACTGGCCTCTGTCCCTCTTTCCCTCCTCTGATGCCCTCTTGCATCTCTGCCTCCCCAAGGCTTGCACAGCTGTTTGTTGCAGCAGCCCTGGCTATAAGCTCCCCAGGTGAATGGTGCCTCTGGGGCTGGCCAGGGGGTGCTTCCCCGGCCCCTGTGGGGCAGTGTGAGGAGGAACCTCTCTTTGGGGGAGCTCAAAGACCGGGGGCAGCAGCTGCGGCTGCCCAGAGGACTCACAAGGAGAGGGGAGAAGAGAGGAGGCTGAGGGAACCCTCCACAAGGGATGGGTGAGGGGCTGCCAGCTCTACAGGCAAGGGGTGACATAACTGGACTCCTGAGCCCCACAGGGGTGCCGCAGAAAGAATGTAGTTGGTCAAGGGAGCTGTGGACCCAAAAAGGTTGAAAATCTCTGCTGTAGGAGGTACATCTGTACACTCCTACAGTTGGGGGTAAAGCCAGGACAAACCTAGAATGCCGGCTGCAATGATGTAATTGAGCATTATCTATGTATTTTCCCCTGAGGCAATAATTAGGGCTTTCTGCAGATGACTTGGCAACTTTGATGCACTGTGGGGTTCTATTATTTAAGTCCCCTAAAACACTTAGCTTCTCCTGCAATTGTTGTGACATACTCTGTTGCTGGGAGAAGCTATTTTCCACTATTCGTATTTTATAAAAGCAGTGCTCAGGCAAGTGCATTGTGGAGCTGGCAGCACCGCGGGTTGGTAGCCATTTTGGGTTGTGCCTACAAAGGAAAAAGAAGAATAAAGGAGATGAAAGAAAGGCAACCAGAACAACCCAGCGTCTCAGTTAATAATTTATCATCAAAAGAAGTTCAGGAGCAGAACACAGCTCAGAGTAATAAAAAAAAAGTCCCAAAAGAACATGCACATTTATCAGATAGACTTCCTCCGCAGCTGGGAGTGCTCCCGGCAGCTGGGACTATTGGACGACAGAGTGCTCCGGGGGGAAGACAAGCCAGTGTGGTCCTTACCGCCCAGGGAGACTTCCATGATTTTGTAAGAAATGGAATTGTAATATACAAGGTTGGTGTGGCAGTTGAAGGCCTCTGGTTGGGAAGGAACTGGGCTCCTGCTTAGCCGCGGCCGGTAGCACAGGCAGTTGCAGAAGGAAGGGACTCTCGTGGTGGAGCCTGAGGACTTGCCCCTCTGTCTCCCGGCCTCTTCTTGCATCAACGGCAGGAGGTTCATCTGACTCGTCCCGTCTTCGATGGGGAGCAGGAGGTCGTTCCTGCCCCGGTTCTCCTCCCGGCTGATATAATTCCTGGCCCTCCTCAGAGACGCCCTTTCCTCTTCGTCCCGCCGCTCGTCTTCCGAGTTCATAATCAAAAACCGAAAGACGACCAAGTTGAGGAAAGCCCCGATCACCGTCAAGCCCACCAGGATGTACATGAAGCTGAAGGCAACGTAAGGGGGCTTCTTCTGCAAAGCTTCGTGCTTCTGCAGGGCCACAAAGTCTCCAAACCCAATGGTGGTCAAGGTTATGAAGCAGTAATAAAAGGCATGGAAGAAAGTCCAGCCTTCAAAATAGGAGAAGGCGGCTGCTCCGATGCCCAGCGTCCCCATGCAGGAGAGGAAACCCACCACCACCATGTTCTTCATGGAGACAGTTGGCTGCCTCATTCCCAGGCACCTCTTTATTTTCTTCAGCACCATTCGGACCAGGATGTTCATGCGCTCGCCAAGGCTTTGGAACATCACCAGGGTGAGGGGAATGCCGAGGATCGCATAGAACATGCAGAAAACTTTGCCAGCATCCGTTCCAGGTGCGGCATGGCCGTAACCTGTGGCAAAAGAAGAGAAAACATAAGCATTTCTCTAGATTGCATATTAATGAATGGAGAACCATGTCAACACAATCCTTTGTCACAAAATTATTCCCCCCCCCCCAAAAAAATGGTTTTATTTAGTCCATTCCTCCAAGGAGCTCAGGATGAAACACAGAAGCCCATTTTTGATCTCACAAAACCCTGAGAGACAGTGAGTGGCCCAAAAATACCCAGAAAGCTTCTTGGATGAATAGGGGGACCTGAACCCAGGTCTCAGGAATCCAGTTCTGTATCTCTCCTCTGATTTTGGGGGGCATTATTGTTGCTACAAGGAACGCAGGTGGCGCTGTGGGTTAAACCACAGAGCCTAGGACTTGCTGATCAGAAGGTCGGAGGTTTGAATCCCCGTGACAGGGTGAGCTCCCGTTGCTCAGTCCCTGTTCCTGCCAACCTAGCAGTTCGAAAGCACATCAAAGTACAAGTAGATAAATAGGTACCGCTCCGGCGGAAAGGTAAACGGCGTTTCCGTGCACTGCTCTGGTTCGCCAGAAGCGGCTTAGTCATGCTGGCCACAAGACCCGGAAGCTGTACGCCGGCTCCCTCGGCCAGTAAAGCGAGATGAGTGCCACAACCCCAGAGTCGGTCACGACTGGACCTAATGGTCAGGGGTCCCTTTACCTTTACATTATTGTTGCTACAGGTCATTTTTCATTGGTACTGCAATTCTAATCCATTTTAATTTGTATGTTCCCCAGAGAACTCAGGTTATCAGCTGACCCAAAATATGAAATAAGTAAATATTTGCCTTGATTGCATTATAGAGGTTCTCAAGCACATGTCCAAATTATCAGTCTGATGACCCCACATGTCCTAATTTTCAGCAGTTTTTCATATCACCCACTTGAGTCGCTTCTAATTTAATCAAGTGTGAGCTTCACTTGGTGTGCTTCAGTTAGTATTGCCTTTGATGTACATCATCATTGAACGAAGCAACTGCTCCAGGAGATAAGGTGAGCCATAGGGAAAGCTGAGACTGCAGAAGGGGGAAATGTTAATGTTTGTCCATCGTCAATAGCTTCTTCCTGGGCCCCATTTTCAAAACAGTCAGATAAACAAGGAGAGAGGACCACACCAAGGTGGCTGAAATAAGCCCAACAGCGTTACAATTCCTCATGGCAGTAGTTCAGCTGTACAAGCCTAATGGAAGCTGGTAATCTCTGCAATACACAGAGGTAAAAGTAATTGGATGGACCATTACACTACAACTTGCTGTAACTGTTGTGGACAGAAGAGCCATCAAAAGTCCCAGCAAATGAAACTCTACCATTTAAGCCTGTTTACACTCCACAAGATTAGCCCATCACATCAAACAGCCTCCAAGTAACAGATCAAAAGCCTGACTCATTAAAGAGCAATCATCTATTGCTGTTGCCATTTTGCTGAGTTATGGGATGGAAGATGTTTAATAGTAATCGACCGTTTCTTTTATTCTGAAGATTTTTGATGCAATTTCCATTGAGCTTCCAACAGATTGTTTTAGATCTCATAAACTTGCCTTGGACACTCTTCAGTGGAAATACAGATGACAGACTTTAAAAATAAATAAGGTTTAAATCATCCCTGGAAAGTCTATGACACATTGTAGCATATTTCAGTATATGAAAATATTTCTGATCCTGTATTATGATTCCTTCTGCCCTCGTAGCATCTAACAATTCATTAAAAGCTATAATAAGAAAACAGCAAAAAGTAGTAGAACAAACAGGTCTCTCCCTCTCAAATAATGTGAAAGAGCCATATTTTTGCTGCTCATCAAAAGACAAGCGGGGACAAGGCCAGGTGGGCCTCTTTAGAGGGAGAAAGAATCCCACAAACAAGGATCAAATGTTGTGTATCTGCTTGCCGTTCCTCATGCAGGCATCTCATACCTTTCTAATGCAAGCACCTGCCAAACTTCAGGTGATGGAAGGTAACAGAGCTCCACCTCTTGATGTTGACCTTAATTCCCACATACGTTAGCAAACCATACACCTATGTAGGGGAAATGCTGTCCATAACATAGCTGTCAAATATCTGATGCTAGACAAAGGCTAAGTCCAGGAAATGGTTTAAAGCAGCCTTTCCCTACCCTGGTGCGCTCCAGTTCTCTTGGATGACAATTCCCATCTACTGCAGCTAGCTTAGCCAATGGTCACGGATGACAGCAGTCGTAGTGCAAAATAATTGGGGTAGCCTAGTCTGAGGGGCCTCTGCAAGCCAAGGGTGTCTAACTATCAGCCTTACCCATATCGTTGGGTTACAACTCTCATCAGCCCCAGTCAGCATAGTCAATGGTCAGGAATGATGGGAGTTGTAGTGGGAGGGCCAAATGTCAGTCACATTTGCTATAGACTATCTGGATGGAAGCCCACCTAGAAACCACATGCAAGTTGTTTTGAGTTCAGAGGATGGGTGTGGAATAGGTGTTATAATAGGGGTGGTGCACTTGGCTCCACATAGTATCCCTCCTGCATCTGTTGCCATGGTGACCTAGTAGTCACCAGGAAGTTTGTCTGGAAGAAGACAAGCCATGAAACCAGGTTCAGATGACAAAGCCAAAGCATGGCTTGGCTCGCAGCGGTGCAGGAGACCACACTTTCAAACGATGCTGTAGTTTGGCTTAGCATTATGTGCAAACCAGCTCACTGGGCCAATGTTTTCATTGAGCTGTCCACCATGGCCCCAAGATCTGTTAAGTCTCACCACCAAGACAGACCTCAGTTATTTCTTTACAATATTTATTAATTGCCTTTTGCTGCTCATCAGAAGACCCCCCCCCAAGCCAATATACAGTCACTAAAGATATGCGCATTTGGAATTTGGGGCCCAGTGTGTATTGCTTTACACTTACATTAACCATCGCCTGCCATTTTGTTGCCCGCTCACCCAAGTTCGGAAAGATCCTTTTGGAATGCTTGTAGTTTTTTCCCACCACTACCCTGTCATCTGCAGACTTGGGCACTTCACTGTTAACCCCCAACTTAAGACCACTTAGGATTGTTAAATAACAAACAAACCCTGGTCCCAACAGAGATCCTTGAAGAACCCCAATTCTTACAGCCCTCAATTAATGGATCTGTCCATTTATTCCTACTCTCTTCTTCCCTTTTTTAAAGCCAGTTACCAATCCATAAAAGGCCCCATCCTCTTATCCCATGACAACAACATTTGCTCAGGAGCCACTTTCCCTTGCCTCATGGCAGGGACACCCCTGGGTGCCAGTTTCCTACAGCAGAGACAGTCAGCAAGAGGACAAAAGGCTGAATGCTGATGATGAGAGCATCATGCACAGCCGATAGGAGTGACATACACGCCACAGCAAAATGACGACAGCATGGCATGCCCATTTATTATGCCAGACGTCTGCAGGTCCAAAGCCAGCAGGACACTGTCCTGTTCCTTCTGGTTTACCTCGCCCCTTGTGGGAAAGTGCCATCATTGATGCTAACTGTACTTTGCAAAGAACAGGCAGTTCAAGATGAACATCCTGGATACAGACAATGTAGACAGTATTTATATATTTGCAGCAAATGGAGCAATTGCTTTTATAATGGGATGAGAGGGGAGCTGCTATTGAACAATTGTTGTCCTTCCTTATTGCAATGTCTAAAAGGTTCTTTCTCCACTGAGGATCAATAAAGAACTTCATAGTTGCTCATTAAAATGAATATTCAGGACATTAGCTCCCCAGACAGTGAATGGCATAATTGTCAGTGACCCAAAAACGCCAGGGAGAGAACAGGGACAGGTCTGCCTGCTGAGTTGTTTGCTCCCTGCAGCAAGCACCCATAGGTGCTTGTTATCCATCTTCATGCCCTTAACTCTTCACCGGCTACTAGCCATAATGGCTGTTCCACCTGCACTGTCAGAGGCATTGTGCCTCTGAATACTAGTTGCTAGGAATCGCAGGTGAGAAGAGTGCTGGTGTGCTCATGTCCATCTTTGCAGGCTTCCCACAGATATCTAGTTGGCCACTGTGGGGACAGGAAGCTGGAGTACATGGCCCATGGGCCTGACCCAGCAAGGATTGTCTGGAGTTCTTACATACTGACACCACATAATGCAGAGAGGCGAGGAACCTGAACCCCTATAGATGTTGTTGGACTCCCATTGGGCCAGCGGTCAGAGATTATGAGAGTTAGGTGTCGGTGCAGAAATTATAGGTGGCGCAGTGGAAAATGCAACAAAAGTGAGCATGAGAGGATCTTGGTTGCTTTTAATGTGGCTGTGGAACTGTAAACCCTGTGGACACTTGGTTTTATGTGGTGGCAATTTATGCTCATCTCTCAAGAAGCAAAAGTGTCCTCAAATTCACTTGATCGTTATGTATTGATGTGCTTGAAGAGAGTTGGATACCTGCCAAATGGGCAGTGCTGGGTCTGAAGCTTGGCTGAGAAATCATGTACAGTGGTACCTCGGGTTAAGAACTTAATTCTTTCTAGAGGTCCGTTCTTAACCTGAAACTGTTCTTCACCTGAGACACCACTTCAGCTAATGGGGCCTCCTGCTGCCGCCACACGATTTCTGTTCTCATCCTGAAGCAAAGTTCTTAACCCGAGGTACTATTTCTGGGTTAGTGGAGTTTGTAACCTGAAGCAGCTGTAACCCGAGGTACCACTGTATTTTGCCAAGAAAACTCTGCCCCCAATTTCAGGTGAAAGCTGGCTGTGGCTTCACGGTAATGGAGACAAAGCACTTGGTACGTACTTGCAGGTGCCCTTCACTATATTTGCTCCATGTTTTCTAGGGCTGAAGCCCAGGTTGAAATTTGACCCTGCTGATGCCCAGCTCATGTGGACTGAAGATAGCTCACGGTCTCCTGGAGGACCCACTGATCAATTTCTGCCAGAACATCTAAAACTTGTTGGAAGTTGGCTTCTTGCTAAGAACGATAGACTAGATGGAACTTGAGCTGGTCCAGCAAGGAACATCTTATATTCTTAAAAAGAGAATGTTCTACTCATGAGGTCTTTCAACATGTTTAGAAATGACATTAAGCCAGATGCGTGGAGAGGGTGCAAGATGGCACACACTGCTGCCATTCCTAATCTCCTGGGCATTCAAGGGCTCTCTATGCACAGTCTACACATGCACAACCTGAGCGCATGAAGGCTGCCCCTCCCTACTACATGAACCTTACGAAATGTAAGTTGCAGATCACACTATGGCAAAATGCATACAACCTGCATGTACATATATTGGTTCACACACCAAGCCAATGAAGGAAGTGCAGAATCAGCTTCCCTTCTGCACATTTCAGCCGAGCATGGTTAACTCTGAAGTAAAAATGGCTAGGTCGACTAGGTTGATACTGGTTAAGTCTTTACTGATGGCAAACATGAACCCCTGCATTGTACATTTAACACACATCAGTGGACTGCAATGGGGATCTGGGGAGGTGGAGAAAGGGGTCAAATTGAGCAAGGTGGAAGCAAGCCCACACCGACTCCTGGTCCAGGAGTGGGAAACCTGTGGCCTTCCAGATGTTGCTGGACTGGACTCCAACTCCCATCGTCCCTGGCCATTGACCATACTGGATGGGGTTGATGGGAGCTGGAGTCCAAGGACCTCCACAAGCTCTCCTGTCCCTGCCCTGGAGAGTGGCAGAAGAGAGCCCGGCGCACCCAGCGATGGGTTGCTTTGGGGATCGCCCTAAATGGGAAGGGGGATCCCGCCGCGCACTCACCGATGGTGGTGATGACCGTGATGGCGAAATAGAAGGAGCCGGCGAACCTCCACTGCGTGCCTGCTCGGTGCGGCTCGGCCCGCAGCGCCAGGCGCTCGAACTCGCGGTAGTCCTCGGCGGTGAAGCGGTACTTCCTCCGCAGGCCGCTGCGCTTCTGCTCCAGGAGGCGCTTGTGGCCGATCTCGGCCTCCGACTCGAGCGCATCGAAGACGGCGGCGCCCACCAGCAGGTAGGAGAAGACGCACACGATCAGCGACAGCGTGCGCAGGTTCTGCCGCTTCATGGCGAGGCCGGCCGGCCGGGCGCCGCTGCCCCGGGCACAGCGCATCAGCCGGGGGGGCGCCGCCGCGGCATGGCACCGCCGCGCGGGGAGCTGCCGGCCTCGGCGGGCGACGGCCTCCTCGGAGCCCGGGGCATTCGCGGCGCAGCCTCTCCCCGGAGCCCGCCCACCCCGGCTCCCGCTCACATCGAGGGTCGCTTCTCGTCGCGCAAGAAGCGGCTACCGGGAGAGCACAACCCCCCCTCCGGAGCCCAGGTTCCCGCGAAGCACCGGAGGCGGCTCCGTTCCTCCTCAGCGCCTCGGTGCAGCTCCCTCCTTGCGCCGATCGCAGCCACGCAGCTCCGGAGGCGAGGAAGAGGAGCCGGCGCTGCTGCCGCCGCTGCTCCCCGCGTGCTCCCGCCGCAGGGACTCGCCGGACCCGGCCACGCCTCCGCTTGCCAGCGCCGGCTGCGAGGAGGAGGGGCTGGCGGGGCCGGGGCTGGCGCGCGGGGACGGGCCACACCTACCTACAGCGCGCCCGAGGAGAAGGCAAACGGATCGGTACTCTTCCCACGGCCGCTCTCTGAACGACCCTCTCGCCTTCTGCTCCTTTGCGCGATGCTTTTGCAGCGGGGATTTAAGGCTGTCGATTCAGGACGAGGAAAAGCCCAGAAACGGGATAAGATCCAAACCTAAGAACAGCCGTCTTCTTTCTTCTTCTTTGGCGGTCACTCGTAGCCGAGTAAGATTGTCTTCCATAAACACGGTTTTAACAGCGAGTCCGTAAGTGACTGTGGAGGCCAATTCTGGACCCACACGTCCTTCCACAATGGGGACATTGGTTTCCGGGCGGGAGCTGATCACGGTTTGGATTTGCCAAGCGTGCCTTCCTCGTAGCACGTTTCTCCCTTGCGTCCTGAGTGTCTTCAAGCCTATGACACCTTTGGTAAAGGCTGTTCTTGATCTGGTCCTCTTGATTCCTTTTAGGAAGCATAAGGCTGCTTCCTAAAAGGATGCAAGAGGACCAGACCAAGACCTCATCCTGTTCTCAGAGCCAGATCACAGAATCATAGAATTGGAAGGGCCTCGAGGGTCATCTAGCCCAACCCTCTGCAATCCATGACAGATGGCTATCCAGTCTCCACTGAAAAACCTCCAAGGAAGGAGAATCCACCACCTCTCAAGGGAGACCATTCCACCTCTGGGAAACCTGGAAGGAGGACTTCCATTGGTCTCTCAGTTTGTGATGCCTAGCATGCTGTCTCCAACAAAGGAGGTGGAACAGAGCCATTGCGGTTAGTAGCTATGGATCACATTCTCTGTGCCTTTGGTTAATACCCTTTTAAAGGCATCCAGAATTGTTGCCGTCATGAATGACATCTTGTGGATAGCTCAGTTGGTTAGAGTTTGGTGCTGCTGATAACACCAAGGCTGCAGTTTTGATGCCCATATGGGAAAGGCGCATATTCCTGCCTTGGACTAGATGATCCTCAGGATCTCTTCCAACTCTACAGCTCTATGCTTCTATGCCCTTGAGTCCCTTCCAACTCTATGATTCTAATGTTGTGACCTTTTCCAACAGGGGGAGTTGCTGTGACTCCTTGACCATTTTGGTTTCCCCTTTCTTACACTTTTCCAGCTCTGCAATATCCTTTTCAAGGTGAGGCAACCAGAACGATACACAGTATTCCAAGTCTGGTCTCACCCTAAGAACATGAGAAGAGCCCTGCTTGGATCAGGCCAACGGCCCATCTAGGCAACACTGTGTTCTCAAAGTAGTCAACCAGATGCATATGGGAAGTCCAAAAGCAACAGCTCAGTGCAACAGCTGTCTCCCACTTGTGATTCCTATCAACCGTCAAATAAATTTGCACAACACATTACGGATACTGGCAGTTTATTATAAACCCCTTTCCTAATGATTGCTGTCATGAAATTAACCTTTTCCACGGCTGCCACTCACAAGGTCAACATCAGCAGTGAACTCTCCTAGTCATTCATGGCTTGTTCATGTCCCATTAGTGTATATATTAAATTAGAGTGGGTTTTGGTTTTTTTGCTCCAATGTGCATTATTTTACATTTGTTTACATCGATTCACATTTGCCATTTTACTACCAATTCACTCAGTCTGGAGTTCTTTGCAATCCCTTTCCGTTTTAACCACTTCGAACAGTTTTGTATCATCAACAAATTGGCTACCTCACTAATCACCTCTTAACTCTGAATTATTTCCGAACAAGTTAAAAAGCACATGCCCAAATGTCAATCCTTGGGGGACACCACTTTCTACACCCACCCATGGCCAGAACTGTTCATTTATACCTACTCTCCTCTTCCTATTTCTTAACCAGGCCATGGAGGGAAGGACCTAGCCTCTTCATCCTGCTGCTGAACTCACTCAACTGCTGAACACACTTGTTACCTTGATGCTTTGTCACTGGGACTGAGAGACTGCATCAGCTGAGGCACCCCTCTTGCTCATGGAATGGACTCCTTCACTCAATTGTTTTTAAGTTTATAACCCTAGCTAGCTTTCTCCAGCTGCTAAGGCAACTAATTAGATCAGGAGGTTCTTGTTTGAAAAGCACAAGGAGGTGTGTGTATCAACAACAGAGCTCACACAAATTCCAGTCAGGAGGAGTTTGATCAGAAGAGGTAATGAGATAAAAGAAAGTGCTTCTGTCAGTATCTTTTTTTAGCCCTATGCAGGTGTTCTGATCATGTGCAAAACTGATACATCAGCAGAGATGTGCATGCTATTTTAGGAAACGAGGACATTGCATAAATATTACTAATAAAAAATACAGTTTGAATGGGTAGAATGGGTAGGATAGCTCCAGCTACATTTTGAAGTAAGTGAACTCATGCTCACATCACCATCTAAAGAGCTGCCCCAATTCCATAAGACCATTAAGTCCAGAGTCTAAATTTACCTAACGGCATCATTGTATCCACTAAATATCCTTTCACTTCTTATGTGACAATAAGGGGGGGCTGAATATGTTTGCAAACTGGTTCCTCCTACGGTAATTATTTTCCCAGTTCTTGTCACATAAGGCCTGGGGATATGTGAGTTACTAAGGTGTCTGGAAGAACAAAGCTTACTCTGCATTTCACTGATATATCAAACTAAGTGGCATCTAATGATTTTAATCCAGTAGCAAAGTTACCAAATGCTATACAAGACTTATCGAAAGCTATACTAGAATGGGACTGCGCTGCTTAACATGCACTGTTGAAAAAGGTGCTAATTTGATTCATTTGAATCAAAGCCAAGATGGTGTCAGTATAAATTTAGCTCCCAGCTATTCTTGCTGATAAATAGCCCACTATCGTCCACATCCTTCTCCCACTCCCAAGCAAGGCTGCTAAGAGGTTGAAGGGTACCCCAGCACAAAAGGATGCAGGTGGCACTGTGGTCTAAACCACTGAGCCTATTGGGCTTGCCGATTGGAAGGTCAGCTGTTCGACAACGGGGTGATCTCCCATTGCTCTGTCCCAGCTCCTGCCAACCTAGCAGTTCGAAAGCACACCAGTACAAGTAGATAAATAGGTATCGCTGCGGCGGGAAGGTAAATTGCATTTCTGTGTGCTCTGGCTTCCATCACAGTGTTCCGTTGCACCAGAAGTGGTTTAGTCATGCTGGCCACATGACCTGGAAGGATGTTTGCGGACTAATCCCAGCTCCCTCAGCCTGAAGCAAGATGAGCACCGCACTCCATAGTCGCCTTTGAGTGGACTTAACTGTCCAGGGGTCCTTTACCTTTACCTTTTTACCTTACTCCAGCACAATCCACCATGTGGTTAGACCATACGTTCACCGTGTTTGGTATCTCAGAATGTGAGGGTTGATAACTTTTAGATCAATATTTTCCCTGCAGTTCCGTTTCTGTTGTTTTATAAACCATAATAGAGCAAGCAGATGGCTAGCTCTGAAAGAGGGGGAGGGGGAGCCACTCCTCCATTTTTAAATACAGCTGGTTAAAAACCACCATGTCTTTGTGCGCAAGGGGGGGAAAAGAAAAAGTAACCTTCAGAACAACATTTTGATATATTAATATATTTGATATATTGATAAGCTGTATTTTAAGCCATATTTTAATTAACTGCTTGTTTGTTTGTTGTTTTTCTATTATGTTTTATTGTAATTCATATTTGGTGTTAGCCGCCCTGAGCCTGGCCCTGGCCAGGGAGGGCAGGATATAAATAAATTATTATTATTATTATTATTATTATTATTATTATTATTATTATTATAGCAGCAAATCCCATGACATTCAGGACTTTTTATTATTATTTTAATGTAGAACGTCTGAATTTCAGTGACACTCCTCCTCACACGCACACACTGAATGTATGAAGGTTGCCGCATACACTCAAAGGGCAGTGAGGCTGCAGCTCTGGCCCTGTCCTGAGGTCATGCACCTGTCCCCAGTGTGCTCAGGTGTGAGCACCTACAGGGGGAAAAATAACACCTATGACCGTGGCAGATTTGGGAGAAATCATAGAATCGGAGAGTTGGAAGGGACCACAAGGGCAATCTGTTAGGATATAGTTCCGTTCCACCTTAAAAGGAACAGGCATGATTGTAGTGTGTCACATGCCTGTTTACTTCCAGCACAGTGCTGGGAACTTCCATTTGTATATTGCTTTTGCTATACTGCTGTTGTGCTTGGACACAAAGGGAAGCAGACATGTTTTTTCCTTTGTTCCTGAATTATGCTGAATAAATGCCTGTAAATAATGCTTACACATGTCTCTGTCCGCCACTTCCATTGTGAGAAGTTATTCACGCTGCTGACTAGAGCGTGCCAAGTCTCTAAAGGTCTCTGAGGCTTGTGTCGCTGCTTGATGCTCTTCTGAGGAATGGAGATCACCCGGCTGGTGGCTGGTGGCTGGAGCCAGCTGGGGGGCCTGCCAATTGCCCCCGTCTCCCCGGACGCATCCCAACATAATCTAGTCCAACCCACTGCAATGCAGGAATCTTTTACCCAATGTGGGGCTCAAACCCACGACCCTGAGATTAAGAGACTCATGGTGTTCCGACTGAGCTATCCCTTATGTGTATGTACCACTATTTAAAATCAAATCAACAGATCCAGGCTTGAGCCATAGCTGTCCACCGTCCCGTATTTGGCGGGAAACTCCCTTATCCCCGCGCCGTGTCCCGCTGCTGTCCCGGATTGATGATGTCCCTTAAATTTCCCGGGTTTCCTGCTTGCCCAGCTAGGGAGGGAAGCAGTGGCTCGGGGTCCTCCGCCACGAGAGAGAGCGCACGCATGAGCTGCCACGTCTCCGTCTCTCCCTTTTCCTCCTCAGGGGCGCGTTGTAAGGAGACGGGTGGCGGCAGGCGGGCAGGCAGCCCCTCTCTTGCGAGACTTCCACCGTGCTGCCAGGGGAAGCCAGAGGCGCCTGAGGAGGCGGCCTGAGGGAGGAGGAAGAGGAGGGGATGAGGAGGGTCGCAGAAGGGCGGCAACCGGGCTTCGCCGGTGAGAGTCTCTCTTCCTCCCTCCCTCTTTCTCGGGCGGGGAAGGGCCGATGGAACTCCTCGCGCCAGGACGACAGCAGCCCCGATGTGCATAAGCTAAGCAAAATCCCTTATTTTGGCTTCAGATCCCTTATTTTCAAGGCTGCTAGTCCCTTATTTTCAAATCTGTAAGTTGACAGCTATGGCTTGAGCCACTGTAGGTGCACCTAAAGGATTTTCAGGGCTTACTGTCTAACTGCACCTGTAGAGTAGCATTGAGCTGAGGCATAGAGGAAGGATGAGTAGCAGAGGTAGGGAGACTATCAGGGCAATCGTGAGCGGCATCTGATTGGACAGCAGCTGCCCCCTTTCAATTCCACGTCTCCCGCATGGAGGCAGAAGCAGAGTCAGGAGAACAGAGGCTTTCAGCTATCATGGGTTCCATGAGCAGTGTTGGGCTAGAGGAGGAATCGAACTTGCGTAGATGGGGTTGGAAGATGGTGGGAATGGTGGATGTGACATGTGACTCCTCTGTGTTTTCAACAGCAGCAGCAACTTGTCCTAATGAGACAAACAGATGGGATTTAATTGTGCAGGAAGGAATATATAAGTCGCTGCCGAGAGAGAGAGAGAGAGAGAGAGAGAGAGAGAGAGAGAGAGAGGAGAAACAATTGTGTCTCTCACCTAAGGCTTTGCTTAGAATTAAGCAGAGACACAGGAGGAAGCAGAGCTTTCATATCTGCATCTGAAATGCACACCCCCTGCCAGCTGACAAGCATCAGCCTAATTAGGCAGGGGGAGAAACCAGGCTGAGCTCCTTCCCTTAATGAGGCCAAACTGGAATTTAGTTCCATCCCCAGACTGCATAGTCTTGGAAGAAGGGAAAGGGAGCTTTCGTATCTCCGCACAAACTCCAATTTTGGATTTTTTTTATTCCTCTTGGAAACCAGCTCAAAGATGCCTGCAAAGCATCATCGGTCAAGTCCTTAGCTGATGACAGATGCTGATTCAGGACACCCACGCACTCACCGGGATCAGCAAACAAGTCCCAGAGCCGGGCATCATCTGCATACAGAAAACACCCCCACCAACTTGGAAGACTTTAAAAGGATTGGACATATTCATTACAATCTGCGGCCTTTTAAACTGTGCTTGGGGTGGGCCTTGTTTTCGCTCGTTATTATGGTGTGTGCTTTCGCGTTTTTATATTGTAAACTGCCCTGTAATCTTTGGATAAAGGGCGGTATAAAAAGGTAAAGGGACCCCTGACCATTAGGTCCAGTCGTGGCCGACTCTGGGGTTGCGGCGCTCATCTCACTTTATTGGCCGAGGGAGTTGGCATACAGCTTCTGGGTCCTGTGGCCAGCGTGACTAAGCTGCTTCTGGCAAACCAGAGCAGCACACGGAAACGCCGTTTACCTTCCCGCCGGAGCAGTACCTATTTATCTACTTGCACTTTGACGTGCTTTCAAACTGCTAGGTTGGCAGGAGCAGGGACTGAGCAACGGGAGCTCACCCCGTCGCAGGGATTCGAACGGCCCACCTTCTGATCGGCAACTCCTAGGCGCTGTGGTTTAACCCACAGTGCCACTCGCATCCCTTAAAGGGTGGTATAGATCTTTAATAAATAAGAAATAAATAAACACAAGGTTATCAATGGCCCATTGCTGTAAACTGCTTGGGCTACGCTTAGGGGTTTCATAACAGGCTTCTGGTTGGCCAGTGTGAGAACAGGATCCTGAACTAGATGCGCCATTGACAGGCTGCTCTTACGTTCTTCACATTAAGTAGCATGGGAGATAAGATTGGATTTGTTTGTTTGTTTAATAAATCACTTCCCATGAAACAGACCCAAGCAGTTTCACAAGAAAAGCATCAACCATAATAAAAACCATATACACATAGATAGATCTTTGTTGGACCTTGCACACCCTAGGCCTGTTATAATAACTTGGTGAGGAACCTTGGAAGCTGCCTAATACTGAGTCAGACCATTGGTCCCTCTAGCTCACCTGGAAATGCCAGGACTTGAACCTGGGACAACCTGCAGATGTTCTACCACTGAGTGACAGGTCGTCCCCAGAGCGGGTGATGGTGTTATTCTCTGTTTCTTGAACAGCTTTGCTGGCAGATTTCTATAGATCAAGCTGCTGTAAAAGGTACACAAGCAGGCCAGGTCGAAGGGTTTCTTTGCCTGGTCAGTTGGCAACCCTACATCAAAAGTGCACACACCAACCCACTGCAGGGGGTTGGACTAGATGATCCTCAGGGTCCCTTCCAGCTCTACAGTTCTATGATTCTTTCTCTTTTGGTGCCCCAGAACGCTTGAAGTGGTATGCTCAGACGCTCTGAGAGTTCAGAAGTGGAAATAAGGGGCCTCCACTTACAGCACCACTTTCTCTCAGCAAAGATCACTACCTGTACATTTACCTCTTAACATTAAAATGCATTTATTTAAAATATTTCTATCCTTTTTTGGGCAAAGCCATTTCCGAGCTTGGGAGGAGAGGGGGTTGCGGGCTAACCCCTCCCACACACGCGGGGGCTGGCCTTTTGCCCCCGCGAGATCCAGGGAATCCCCGGGCGTGTCTTCGACCCGGACCCGCCAATCAGCAGGCTGGGGAGGCGTGGCCTAGCCTGCTTAAGGCCAGGCACTCCCGGGGACCGCCCTCTTTCCCCTTTCCAGCTGAGCGGATGATGATGATGATATAAAAAGATTAAAAGCAAAAACAATTAAGCAAATGTAATAAAACAACCTCAGATTAAAAACAATGGGGGGAATTAGATTAAGGAAAATCTCCCTGGCATTGTTTAAAGCTGAGAATTCTGAAGCCCTCTAAAGCCTACACCTACTTCAAAAACACACCTACTTTGCGATTTTGGTGGAGTCTACACACATATAAAAACCGTTCTGAAAATGCTTTTTTTTATTTTTTAAAAAAGGTGTTTTTTAAAAAAATACATTGAATTTTCCATAAGGCTCACCATCACTATCTAGTGTCACACTGTATATTGCACTTAAAACACACTTAAAACGTTTTATTTGCAGCTGAGTCCCAAATTTCTCAGTTGTCACCAATCTAGAGAGTTCTATTGCTGGCAGACCAACCTTGTTCCTCTCCCAGTACACTGAAAATTGTACTGAATCCTGGCTAGTTATCAATTCTGTTCACTCCTCATGCCATTCAGGATGTCCAGAACCTTCTACATATGCCAGAATCTGGTTGCAGGTGCATCCTTGGTATAAATTCCTCTTTCTTGCTGAAATTTACATATTTGATCCATTCTAGATGAGTGACAGCCATTTCCAAACATTCTCTGTGCAGTTCTAAATACGGTAACTAGAAGAGGTATTACAGGAAGGTTATGTTTTCACTTTGATTCATTTTGGCTTTGCAAAGACCCCCAAGAGCATTTTATAGATTTCTACCTATTCTTTGCATTGTTTAGGTTCTAACTGCTTTTTCTTTATCTTGCACGCAATAAACCCACCCGCTCCTTTTGCTCTTTTTGCACCTTTTACTATGGCATTCTGGTTTCATTTTAAAATGTTAGACATGTGCT